CAGCCGCCGCATCAGGCTCGAGACGAGCACGTGGTTGAGCCGCCTAGAGAGGCGAGGCAAGAGCCGGTTCCGGGAGGGCTCGGCCGAGAGAGGGTGCACTCTCGACCACTCTCGGGGTCATCTCCTTGCGAAGAGGGCGCTGGTGTGCGATCTCGTGCAATCTCGACCACTCTCGGGTCATCTCGGGCTCCCAGCCGCCTCTCGAGGTCGGCGTCCGAGGCCACCAAGTCGCGCAGCGCCGCCAGCTCCCACCTCACCACGCGCATCGGAGAGCGGCCGCGGATCGTGCCGTACGCGGGCGTGCCGGGCTCGCCTGCGAGCGCGAGGCTTGGACTCGGCTTTCTTTTTTTCGACTCGAAGGGGTCCGGGGTCGGCACGGGCGGGGGCGAGAGCTCGCCCCGCTGGTACGCGAGCGTGTTGCAAAAGCCGCCCCGCCCGATCACGGCGACCGCCTCGCCGTTGAGCCTAAACAAGCACACACAGACGGGCCGCGTTCTACAAGGAGGCGGGTGGAACGGAGCAGGTCCTCGTGCCCCCGCTGAGCCTCATCTGCGCTGAGCCGTCGAGCACAAAGTAGAGGTGCGGGCAGGCGGCGCGCTCGGTGGTCAGGACGGCCCCCTCCGGCAGCGTCTCCACCTGAGCGGACGTGTCCCGGACGCGTCAGGGACGGAAGGGCGCGGCCTCGCGGGAAGGGCCGTCGCCAGGGGCTGCCGTCGCGAGCGCCATGAGCCGCTTGAACTGGCCGCGCGAGAGCTGCGTGAAGGAGCCCTCGTAGATGGACTCCTCCTCCTCCCCGAACGCACCCGGGTACCGGTCGCGCACCAGCTTGAGCGCCATCACGCCGTTGACGACGACGAAGAAGACCGACCAGCGGAACGGGATGCGGAGAGGCCGCTCGTGAAGCGCGTGGAATGCAACCAGCCCCGAGTAGCCGCCGATGAGCATCAGACGCAGCGCGAGCACGTCGGTCATCAGGAAGCCGCTCGCGAGCGTGATGTAGGCGCTGTGCCCGATCACCGGCAGCAGGGCACGGGCGCGGTGCACCAGCCACAGCGGGAGCAGCGACGAGGGCGGCTCCGGCTCCGACGGAGGGCTCCACGTCAGCGAGGCCGGGTCAGCGATCGACGACTCGGCGGGTGCGATGCTGCTGCGGGCACGGCGGGCGGCGTCCGGACGCGGCGCGTCACTATCGCGAGGCGGGAAGCGCGGGAGCCGGGAAGCGCGGGACGCCCGGGACGCGATGCTGCTGCGGGCGCGGCACGCCGGCTGCGCGGCCAGGCGAGCACGCGCAGCAGCCCGCGGCAGTTTCGACAGCATTAGGTGAGGAGAGGCTTGCGTTGAAGCCAGTGTGCTGGTGGTGCTGGCCTCGACCGACCCTCGACCGGAAGGCCGCGTCTTGTCGAAGCACCCCTGTAATGACCTGAAAAGAAATCTGATTTGGTCGCCGCTTTCCCATTTCCTTCCTTGAGCACTTGAGCACTGGATAGGGTCGATTCCGCATGGTACGGGACCCCTCGATCGTCTCGCCCTCCCTCGCTGGTGTGTTCATTGGAGGGGGGGCGGGGGGGTAATAACAAACGCGGTACAGGATCCATTGCTGCCGCATTCGCCCGGGGAGACCGCGGCCGGGTCGTCGACGCCCTCGGAAGCGGTGGAGCCGGGAGAAGCTGGCGAAGACGAAGGGCGGCACAGCGCTCAGCGGAGAAAGCGACATCAACAACGAGGGAAACGACCATACCGGTCGTCGCATAACGCTCGGGAGACGAGCAAGAGAGCGAATCAATCAAGGAGCAGGGTCGGAACCCTGGGAAGACGAGGGGTGAGCCCTCAGGCGGGGGGGTCTACTCAAATGTCTGCGCAAGTGAGTGCAGAGTGGTGGGTGTGGGGCGTGCAATGTGAGACATGGTACGGGACCCCTCGATCGTCTCGCCCTCCCTCGCTGGTGTGTTCACCTTGGGGGGGGGCTCTGGGGGGAGGCGGGGGCCCCCGGAGGCACCGTGCGCCGTGCAGCAGTGCGGAAACGGGGCTCCGGCTCTACTAGTCTCTACTAGCACCGACTTTCCGAATGGTCACGGTTGGTTAGAGGGCAGATTTGGAGAGATCTCGAGGAGTACACACAGATAGACCCTCCAACCATCAGAAAACTCCGACCTGATCGGTCGTACTGACCGCCGACAGATCACTCCAGACAGCAGACAGGCCGACGTCTGCACGCGGCCGGCCGGGCGAGAGGCTTGACACGATCCGACCCTGCGACCCTGATGCTGCTGCTCGAGCTATCAGACATGCATTGCTGACTGCTGCCACAATGTGCGACCTGTGCTGGCCCACTTGGCGGCCTTCCCGGTCAGTGGTGAGGCGCAGTTCAGAGCTGTCGATGGCGCGATGCCGCACTGGTCCCACATTGGTGACACGAGACCACCAAGTTTGCCGGTCCAAGAGAGAGGGACCGGCGCTGTCCTGAGAAGGTGCATGGTCCCTCTTGACTGCCCATGCGCGCGAGGCTGTGTAGGCATAGCCTCGAGAGTGCCAGCAGCCAATCCGAGGCAGTTTGTGACGCGCATTGCGTCAGAAGCGTGCGCGCGCTGGAAGGACACCTTCCTACTGGCCGTACGATCAGGTCGTCACTGAATGCCGAAGACTAAGGCCGCGAGCATGCAGGCGGTCAGTTGAGCAGCATGGCACGGTCAGCAGCGCCGAAAGGATGTCGCAAGGCGTGATAGCATGGCCGCAAGTACGATCAAGTACGCCGAATTCCCATTGAACAAGTAAAAAATCGGCAAGAAAAAAATGCCAAAAAAATCGGCGCCTGCGGCGGGCTGGGGGACCCCATCTCCCCCCCGCATGGGTACCCCCTAGGGCCCTCGCCTCCCCCCAGATGGGGGGGGTCATAACAAACACAGGGCAAGGGCCGTGTAGCTGTAGGCAGGGAAAGGGCCGTACGGGGTGTGGAGGGTGAGTTGAACAAGGGGTTGTGCGCCGGGCATCCACACCCTTTATAAAGTAAACACGGTCTGCCGTACAGCGTAATGTAAACACGCTAGACCTACAGCAGGTCGGGCTTTGCGAGCGTCACTGTGAACGGCGGCAAGGACCAAGGTTTCAGTGTACCCGATGGCGAACGTTCGATGGCGAGCGGGCAGCGGCGTTATCTCGGCCGGTTCTCCACGGCGCTCGAGGCGGCGCTGCACGTGGCCCGCAACCTGGGCCCCGCCTGGAGATCGCTCTGTTCGCTGTTCTCCTGATGTCCTGAAAATCTGAAATCGCTACCGCCTACTGTGTAGAGTGTACGGCGTGCGCATTGCAATTGTACAGGTCCAATGTGCGTGTGTGTACGAACCACTCCACACGCACCGCGCCGAGCCGATGCTTTACATGTTACATGCCCATCATCTGCGAAATCGCCCGAAACCGGTCGGGCGTCATCCCGCTTTGCATCGCCAACGCGGCCGCCTCGGGAGTCATCCCAGGGATGCTCGCCCAGCCCTCTCCCGCCGCGCGCGCTGCTCCTCGTCCAGCCTCGGAGGCGGCTGTCGCTGCGCGCGCTCCGCGCTGCGAGCCCTCGCCGCGCTGCGAGCTCTCGAGGCCGAGCGCGAGGGCGTCGATCGCCTCCTCGTGCGAGTCGGAGGAGGCGAGTTGCTCCTGGAAGGCTGGCATGCCGAGCAGCTGGTCGTGCATCTGCCTCCAGCTGAGCCCTGGGTTGGGCGGGAACGTCTTGAGGATCATCTGGTGCGTCTCCTCCGGCGGCGGCCGGCCAGTTGGCGCGTAGGCGAGCGCGGTGAGCGCACCGTTACGCCGGTTGCGCTCGTGCACGACCTCCGTATGTTCGCCGTCCGTGTAGTCGACGCCGATGGCCTCGTCGAGGAACGCGGCGAGCGCTCCCAACGGCACGGGGCGCACGCGGTGGCGGTCGCCGCACATGTCGATGCACACGACGCAGTCGAAGAGGTCGACGCGCTGCAGCGCCGCCGACTGCACGACCTCTGTCGCGCGCCGCCAGAAGAGCGCGTTCGCCGCGCGCGAGAAGGCGTCCGCGTCGAAGCTGTCGTTGCGGTCGCGCCGCCGCGCCGCGCTGCCCGTCGTGGCGTGCCCACTCTCGAGTGCCTTGGCCTTGAGCTTGCACTCCTTTTTGTGCGTGGGCCAATCCGCGTGCTGGCAGCCCGGCGAGCAATAGCGCGCGAACTTGCACTTGCCGCACCGCTTGAGCTGCTCTTGGGGCTTTTCGACGTGGCACCACGAGCAGTAGAACTTGTCCACGCCCATGAGCACCTGCGTGCCCGGCCGGTTGCCAGCAGCCGTTGCCTCGCTGACGGTGCGGCACATCCCCACAACAGCCGCCGCGATTTCGATCAGGTGGCTGCTCGCACCCTTTGCACGTAACGCGCCCACTGCCGCGTGCATGCTCTCGGCTCGCTGCCGCAGGGCGGCGCCCGTGCGCTTCTGCAAGGCCGCCTGCTGCGCCAGGCGCAGTATACACACAACATCTTCTTGGAGCTCCGCCGCGAGCGGGTGAGCCGCGCATAGCCGCAGCGCCGCCTCGACGCCGCCCGCGCCAATGACCGCCTCCCCCTCGGCGTCGGTCGGCGTGCCGGCGGCGCCGCCGAGGCTGGCGGCCAGCAGGCCGCACAAGTGCTTGGCCACGACCGCGTCGCGCGCGGCCGAGCGCCCCTCGGCCGCAGACACGAGCTGCCGCACGGCCGCGCCCTCGCGCAGCGCGCCAGTGGCCTCGCCGCCCTCCTTGATCAGCCCCGCGTGCGAGTACTCCAGTGAGTCGAGCACGCCGTGCTCGCGGGCGGCCGCGGCGCAGCCGACGAGGCGCGGCAGCTCGGCGGCAAAGGAGCTCGCCTGACGAGGCCCGCACGGCACGGCCGCCACCAGCGCGAGCGTGGCGCGCCCGCTTGCGTCGGGCGAGCTAGCCGAGCCGCTCAGGCCAACATCGCACCACTCCATGATCACCGTCGCCCCGCACTCGCGGGGACTCGAGACACCTCTCATGCCCAGCGCGAGTCCGGCTTGCTGCAACCGCTCGTCCTCGAGGGCGCAGGCGGCGAGGCGCAAGCAGGCGTCTCCGCAGCCGGTCCCCGACCAGAGCGCGTCCTTGGCGGCCGCTTGCCCGTGCAGGATGACGTTGCGGATCAGGCCGAGCGCCATGACCGCAACGCCGTCCCAGATCCTCGGCTCGCCCCACACGGTCCGCACGTCGAGCGCCATGAGCTGCAGCAGCGGCCGCAGCTGCAGCGCCACGGCGGCCGCGTCCCATCTGCCCTTGCGGACGTTGGAGGTGGCGTTGAGAAGAACGTTGATCGCGCAGATGGGCATCGGTGCGCCGCCGCCTTGGCTCAGCAGTCTCAAGTCGGCGTTTCGAGGAGGGCGGGTCGCGACTGCCGGGTCTGCCACATGGGACAGGCAAGCCTCGACCAGCCCGCCAGCGAGCAGCTCGTCCTTGCTGAAGGAGTGCATTTCAAGATCGGTGCTGATCGCGGCCTTGATGGTGCGCACGTCCCCCGCGCGGATGTCCCCGAGGAACTTTTCCATCGCACCGCCGGATGCAGCAGAGGCTGCAGACACCTGCTCAAGCGCGAGCGCCGCAAGGTGGCGCAGATCCTCCTTCTCCGTGACGCCGACGTGCGACATCCCCGCCGCGCTGATGGCAGCCTTCATCTCCTTGACGCTCATGTGCGCAGCCATGCCTGATGCGCAACTACGGCGAGGGCGCCGCCGGTCGCGCGCTTGGCAGGACCCAGGTGCACGAGAGCCGGGGAGTGTTCGAGCCAGCGGAGCGACGGAAGAATTACCGACGCGTATCTCTCTTATAAGGTTGCAGCGAGAATCGGAGAGAGACTGCGAAGAGAGATAGGAAGAGGCAGACTCCCTAGGGTGGGCGACGGCTAGCGCACCACACACCTCTCCTTAAAATCCCTGTGTGGTGGCGGCGTGCGTGCCGTCCTCCCATCCCTCCCTTGGGTTGTCTGTTTTCTTTCTTTCTTTCTTTGCAGACGGAAGAATGACCGAAATATCCTCAGCCGTCTTCGCCGCCTCTGTTGCCTCGAGGTGACGCTCGGCGGTGCGGTAGCGAAAGAGGGCAACTCCGGTGAGCGGGCATTTGAACGCGACCTTCGGGGGCAAAGACATGGGCTCCATGGCTCTCGGCGCTGCTTGCAGCGCTCTGGGTGGTAGTGGCGGCGCTCCAAGAGTGGTGCTCTTGGGAAGAGGTTCCTCCTTTCCGCTCCCCCCCCGCAAGGCGCGAGACACACCCTTCTGATGCCCTAGGCCACACCTGGGCCCTACCTGGGGTCCTAGGGGCCGGGCAGGGTTTGCCCCCCGAAACTGGCACGTAGACGACCTTAAGTAAGGATGGCTGGCATGCTAGATCTCAGCCATCGGGTAGGAGCGTATGGCTGAGATCTCGGCACTCGAGGGATCTCAGCCATCCTAAGCATAGCAAGGGATGGCTGTGCGAAAGAGCTCAGAGGGAGCGCAGCCATCCCACGTTCGTTGCCGACGACTACGGGTTCCGGCTCCTTGCCGCCTGGGAATACACGATCGCTGTGGTTCGCTTGCTGTGACGTAAGATAGTACTCGGAGCGGGCCGCCCGCGAGACACGGCGACACGAGATCCCGAGTCGCTGGCGACGGCCCGACAATGCCGTCACAACGACTCGCAACACAAAAACAACATCGTCGCGTCAATCGAGGAAGAGCAAGGGCGAGAGGGGGGCAGGGGACGGGTCGCTGGCATACTATGGAGCACCGAGGAAGTCTTCAATGCGTACCACTGCCCACGATTCAGCAGGTGGGCTTGACGGCCCTGAGGAGTCCACTAGCCGCGTTGCAAATGCAATCGTCACGCGTGGCATACTGCGCTGCACCATAGTTGTAGTCAATCGTATGGAAGTCGAAGGCGTCAAAAAAGGCGTGTCCCTGCGCTTGAAGGCTCAAAGTGTAGTCGATGCGCGAAGCAGGTGGGTGCGGTGCAGACGGCGGTCGCCCGTCTGCGCGGACTGTCCCCGGCGATGGAGCGGCGCCGGGCGGCCTCGGCCGAGCCAGTCACCAAGGAGTACGCGTAAGGGCGCGTGGAAAACAAGAGGGGGCGGTGTCCGGGCCCGGGCTACGCCCACAGGCGAGCGAGGCTTCATGCGTGGGCATCGCGCCAGTACCGTTGCATCCGATGGCGAGAGAGGGGATCAGCATTGCGCGGCGCGCGGGTCAGCGCATTCCGACTACGTTCAGTCGGTTGTGCGGGCGGCATGGGCGGGTGGGTGGGCGTGCGGGAGCCTCTTTGTCTTTCTTTCGCGAGGCAGAGAGGGAGCGGGCGGAAGTAGTCTGTCTCCATATTGGCATTGCACGTCTCTAGGCTGTGGGGGGTACCGCGAGGGCCTGATGTTCGAGGCCTGATGTACGGCTTTTTAGTGATGTTCACTTGTTTACACACTCCCATGACGAGAACGACCAACGCACCGTCCGCCTGGCCGAAAAACGTGGGTTCGAATTCGTAGGAGGCACCTAGAGCAAAATTGAGCCCGCTCAGGTGTGAACAAAAAATATAAGGGTCGACCAGGTTTCGAACTGGGGGCCTCCCGCTCGCGGGGCGGCACTCGGCGAAGAAATAGAAAAAGGGCGACCTATGTAGCAACTAGCATACCGGGGGAATTAGACACATCAGATACGCACATACCGACGCCCGAAGTGCCAAGAAGGACGTCATTAGTACGAAACCTCAGAAGGCCATGGGCGCCGAGAGAACATTCCCCCGAGAGGACAAAAGAAAAGGCTTCGCACCCCCTCCTTGCGCAGTGTCCAGTGACCCTCGCTAAGTGTCGCCGACTAGTTGCAAATACGGGTGCTGTCATAATGACCACTTTTGATGTTTTTTTTCCGTGTTGCTCCCAGCGCCCTCGCCCGCGCTCCCTGAGGCCATGGCTGGTGCTACTAGTATGGAGGGCTACCTTTTTTTGGTGCTTTTTCCACGTGAGACTTTTTGCAACTAGTCCGCCGTTATCGGGGCACGCTATCCTGTGTACGCAGTACGGGTGGGTTCTGCGACCAGTATCGGACTTCGGAGGGGGGCAAAAAGATAAGAATATCTTTTCACTTGTGTTTACACACTAAAACAAAATTGGAGGCCTGAATGTTCGAAACAAGTTCGATGCCCTTACACGGTCCAAACTTACGGCCTTATCCGACACACCGCGCCCTGTGTCATCCTACGGCTCTAACCCAGACACTGCAGCGCCAGCGGACTCTCGACGTGTCCCGTCACGCAAACGACACCAGCCAGACACGAGACAGCGCCGCCGGAGCCTCACGGACAGTACCACTTGCCGGTCTACTCCTTTTGCGACATCGCGTAGCGGTGCAAGATGCCCGCGATCCGATGTGAGTGCGAGTTCAAAGCGTCGTCAATGCGCCGCTCAAAGAAGGCGGTCGCAGCGCGGCAGTCGAGGTCGAGGCGCAACCTGCGCTCGACTCGCTCGATCTCGGCGTGGCCGGGCATCGCGGGGGCGCCCGCAATCAACTTGAGCAAGCCGATCAGCAGGGGCGCCTGCTTGACGGCAATCAGAGGGGGCTCGGAGGCGCTCGCATCTCGCTCACGGCGCGGCGACACCGCGGCGGCCTCTCGCCTGCTCGCGGAGCGCGAGGTACGCCCGGCAGCAGAGGGCGCGGAACTCAGCGTAGCCCTCCGACTCGAGGCCGCCCATGCCCTCGACCATCTCGATGCTGAAACCTGTCGGACCGGCGCGCGCATGGTCGAAAGCGAGGGGGGGGAGGCGCCCTCCCCACAGCCACACGCGCACGGGCGGCACCAAACGGCGGCGGGAAGCACTTGCGCACGTGCGGTTGGCCATCCCACAAGAAGCCTTGGGGGGGGGGGGGGTCAGGTTTGAGGGCGGACAGCGAGGGAGGGAGAGGGACGCGGGGTGTTGGGATCCTCTCGGGTCATCTCGGTTCATCTCGGTTCATCTCGGGTGGACCTCGGGTGGGATCTCGGGTCATCTCGAAACCCCTCGGGCCATCTCGCATCCTCTCGGGTTCGGCCAGGCGCACCAAAATCGATGTGGAAGAGCCGCCCGTCCGCGCGCAACATCAAGTTGTCAAAGTGGCGGTCGCCGACCGCGAGCACGTGCGTGGCAACGCAATAGCCTACCGAGAGGGGGCGGGGGGGGTCACGGGCGGTGGGGCGCCCCGCGCGCGCGTGCGCCAGCGGAGACGTGTGCGGCAGCTAGCGCGCCCGCGCAGCTGCGGACGTAGCGAGAGAGCGCCGCGGGCTCGATGCCCAACTGCGCGCGCGGGTCGGCCGCGGGGTGCGTCTTCCGCAGGTGGTCGCGGATGGCGAAGCGGTTGTAGGCGCCCCCGAAGCAGCGCGTGATCGACCTGCCGAAGAGGAGGGCGCCTGCGGGACATGTCCATCACACGTGTGACGGGACGTGTCCCGGACATAGCCTCCCGAAAGAGAGCTGGGTAGGCTAGAGCAGGGAGCTGGGTAGGCTAGAGCAGAGAGCTGGGTAGGCTAGAGCAGGGAGCTGGGTAGGCTAGAGAGAAGAGGAGAGCGCCCAGCGTCAGCGAGCCGGGCACGATCTCCACGAGCCCCTGGCCGGGCGCCGTCGGCACCACGCGGTACGGCTCGAGCGGCAGCTGCGGGGAGATATGGGGGGATAGGGGAGATGTGCCACGCGGTACGGCTCGAGCGGCAGCTGTGGGGATATGAGGCGTGGGCGTGTCCACTCCGAGGACCCCATCGACGGAGGGGAGAGCAGCCGCGGCGTCTGTACGGCCGCGAGGTTTGTGCGAGTGCGGGCTGTGCCCTCCCGAGCAGCGCGCGCCTCGAGCCCGGCGTCGTGCCACAGCCGCTCGAAGAGGCGGAAGA